GCTTTGAAAGTTGGAACGCAAAGGGAAGAAAAAAAGCTTTAATAAAAGTATTGTCTCTATTAACCGCTCTATTGGTGACTTTGGCCCCTTAATTCTGCTTGTAATTGTAGGTCAGTGGAATATTTTGTGAGACTCCCTACTCTGATTCTTGTTTCTTTTAACTGTTTGTCCATCAGCATTTGTCTTGTTTAAGAAACAGCACATTAATTAGGTCAGGAAGGAACTCAAATTCAATAATTCATCACCAATGAGAAAAACCCTAGACTTTTGCTATGACTTAATGTATAAAATTATAAAAAGTGACCATGGAATGGGACATTGCAAATAAAATTAGAATTTGCAATTATATGAATACCTTAATCTAATAATGCTGAAAATAAAACTAAACACAAGCTTCATTTAGGGCGGCTTTATTGCTGCTTCTTAAAACAACTTTCTAACACAAGTTTTAGGGTTTCGGGTTTAGAATTGTTTTAGGCTTTGTTTGGGATGCCTTTTTTACTGCTTTTTGAAGCAGCTTTTTAGTATAAAAATTTTAATTTTTATACAAAAAAAAACTGTTTCAAATAGTAGTAAAAAAGCCGTCCCAAATGAAGCCTTAAGCAACAATAAGAAAACCGTCCCAAACAAAGCCACAACAACTTCTCAACTTGTGATAGCATCTATGCAATAACGATGGCTGATTAATGACCACCCCTTTACCCCCAATAAACCCTAAATCGAGGAGCTGTCAACCGTCCTTATCAACAAGCTAACAATTATGATTGATAAGAAATATAAGAGATGAGGAGAAAAGGTATATTTTTCCAAGTTATATTGCACCTTATCAACAAGCATAGAACTTTGCAAAAAAAAGGAAACAACTAAAAAAAGATCTCTAAGGAAGAATGATAAAGAGAATAGGAAATAGATCAGTTAAAAAGCAGAAAATAAAGCAAGAGGCCTATCATCAAACTAAACCCTAAACTTAGAATAGAAAGTTTCAGTAAGTCGTCAATAAGTTGGGTATGTTTCTGAATACCTGAGTGGGAAGAAACACCGTCTCTTTCCTCAGATATGCGAACAGAGATGTCAACAAACCCCTGAGGCCTCCCAGAATTTTGCTTCCTCAGCTGAAAGCTCCCAACCTCTTCAAGTCCACTCCTGAATGTATCTGTATCTTTCAAGAACTTGACCAAAAATTCTTTGAGCATAATATTTGCAATTCCATGAAGCTTATCTCTGAGGAATATAGGTTCCCTCTTGTGAATCTCTATAGTCAGGGATAAATCTTGCATATTAGAGCTTCTGTCATCGACATCAAATAAAAACTTGGTTTTCCAAGTTGGGTTTGGGTTGCCAGAGCTGTAGATCTTCGTGCAATATTTGCTATTTGGATCAATCCATCCCACAGCTAACCACTGGGGCTTCAGGAGAGAAGTGGAGCCACCAAGGCCACGTGCAGATATAATGCAAACCTCAATTCTAATTTTAGTCATATTCAAAGTTTTGGATTCGATGGTCACAAAAATGAGAGATGTTAAACAGATTACCAAGTTCTTTTTCTATCTTTTGGTGAAGTTGGATAACAATGAAAAAAGCAAGATAAAAAGTAAGGTTTCTAACAAAAGCTGGCTTTTACTAAGAGATTCTTCATCATCAAAGCACTCACAAAGGATTCTTCACACCCTTCTGATGCGAAGAATCATATTCCAACATGAAAGTTTCAGGACATGACTTTTCTAGAAAACTTTAGAATGAATAAAGACAAGTCAATGCAATTTATTAAAAGTTTAGTAAATGAAATTTCCTGTTGCCATTGACGCTGCTTCAGATTAGGACAAAAATAAATGTTACAGAAAAGCAAGTTTCTTTTTCCAATAATCTCACGTTTCTCCACCTCGCATAAGCGTTAAACCAATTCAACCAGCTTCCCTGATAGCAATAGAAGATATTTCATAATGGGAGGGACCTACTAAAGGTCAAAAGGAGACATGTGCAATAAGATCCTTCATTTGTTAGGAAAACATCGCGGAAGGCCTGTTGTTCAAACCCATTATAAGCTTCAGTTAAATTTACAGATGGTGCATGTTAAGCAACTAGGCCCTTTGTGATAAAAACCATTATGAGGAGGAACTTTGACCTTGTTTACATTTGGTGGGATGGGTTATGTTATGGAGATGAAAGACTCCAGTGTCGAGAAACATCAAGTGGAGAGGAGAGAAAAAAAGAAAGAATAATGGAGAGGACCTTTAACATAATGCTCTCAATATTTAAAAGTGACCTGTATGCTGGTTTTTCAATGTAACGTGAACCTAATTGACATGATAAACCTAATTCCAAAATATCAAAATTTCAAATAGAGTAAGCGCCTCAAAGAGCTTCTTTGGGATCTTCACCTGGATTATTAGCCTCCACAGTGTTCCTTCTCAGAGGGGTATAGTTCAAGAGAGTGAGGAACCACCAGCTGCATACGACCTACAGTTTTGACCATGAAATTGTCCTTTTGATCAGTTGAGGGTGTCCTGGTGTACATCATCGTGGTAGAATCAAGAGGATCCTTTCCAAACCCACATGCTTCAAAAAAGAACCTGAAGAAATCATTTATCCAAAAAAGAATCGTTTATTCAAGTACATTGCAGTTTACTTTCATAATTACTGAAATATTTTGAGAACATAGCTGATGGTAGAACTGAAAGATATCATATACATAAGGATGCATATTGATGCATCCGTGTAAAAATATTAAAATCAATTAATCCTAGCACAATGTTGTCAAAATTCATATTTATGCAATCTCTGTGCAACAGAGATAAAATGAAGCGACAATACTTCCAAATCTCAACTATGATCACTTCAATACGAATGAAACCATAAATCACCACACGCTCCAGTTGATTAGAGTTGTCAACCAATATCTCATGATCAAGCGCAGATCACACTAAAATCAATATTTGAGCAATTTGACAGCCTAATTTCAATCATCAACCACACAAATCTCAAGGCTTAAAGGACTCGTGCATTTATCCATCACTACCAGAAGTAGAATAGCCTGACAACTTCTGGCATAAATCTGGTAGAAGAAGTGCTCGGTTCTCAAACTTCTGTCAAACAAAGGCAAAAAATACCCCCTCAGTTAAGGGCATTTCCATCCAGTAGATTTCATGGAAATAATGGTACCTCTATTCATGGTCCATACCCATGAAAGTACCGAACTACTCTTCACCGTTAACATATATAATTATACCCCTATGAGGAAAGGTAAAGAAATTCTAAAACCCTTGGAAATAATTTGGCTCTCAAAATTTTTACGAGAAAGATTAGCCCATATTATTCTATTATAATCTTAAAATATCATTTACTAACATGAGCATCATGATGTCTTACTAGGAAAGCCTTTCTCAGGACAAACTTCACATTTTCTTTGACTGTGTGCAAGAAGCAAGTGATTGATTTGAACGGCATGCCCTTAAATCTCTACCAACGTCAAAAAATTTTCCTACACATGAAAGTTTGGTGTCATGGAAATTTTCATTGTTACTAATTAATACTCAAAGCTAAGCGATCTTGCACTCGTAATAGCAAGTTCAAATCTCCTTGATTATCAATCTATGCAATGCATATGAGATTGGCAAGCACTCCATCACCTCTCTAATGAGGAATAATTTGGCAAATCAACAGTTGGAGAACCAAACATACATGTTTCGCCTATTATTAATCATCATGGTAGGGAACAAGAAGGAACTTCCATTCGTCCGCCATCACCATGTTTCGCCTATTATTAATCATCATGGTAGGGAACAAGAAGGAACTTCCATTCGTCCGCCATCACCTCGCATTAAGAATCATTCACAAATCAATTGTCATAAGGCCAAATATCCATGCTTACATCGCTGATCAGTCAAGAGATCACCCTTCTCTAGAGTATTGCACAAAACAAATGAAGGCAGCATAATTCAAAATTTTAGCATGCTTCCAAAATTCCCAAACGATGATTGCCATATACTAATGCTTATATTCCTGCCAATTATTTCACACAAAATTTGGAGCATCTTAAAAACTGTTAAATCTCAACCTCACAATCCAAAAAGAATCCACGGCCGTGAACAGTAATCCGTGGGAAGACCACCTGGATCACATTAATTCCTTCCATAGTTGATTTAGGAATAATTGTATTCTCATTATTCTAGAGTTATTTGTTTCCTTATCAAAACACCTTGTATAGATCTATAAATAGGGAGTAGATTGCATAATAAAATTCAAGCATTTCCCTCTCAAATTCTCAGTTTTAACATGGTATTAGAGCCAACGGCCTGAATTGCAGTCGGAGAACGATCCTAGATCGTCGAAGGAGGAAGAGAAAAAGAAGAAGCTCGGACTTGATCATGCCGACCCGTGTACGCCGGGATGGGACGAGACGGAGTCGAAGCACCAATCGGAATTTCTGATCCGAGAGGAAGGCCAAAGTCGTCGAGACTCCCGCTAAGAGCCGAACGTCCAAGCGTATCCGAGAAGGATCGTCCGAACGCCATCGTCGGCTGTCTTCTCCAGAGCTGAAGGACGAAGGAGAGGACGGCGGACAGCGAGCATCCTGATCCGACAGGGAGGGAAGATCGTCGAAGGAGCGAAGCACCCCGCTCGATCCACACTTCCGATCGCACGACCCAGTCGAAGCCGATCGGAAGCCCGATCCACGCCTGCGATTCGCGGGAGAAAGCCGTGCCTGCGTGCAAGAAAAGGGTCTCGTGCCCTAACTCCAACCCGAGCATTTCCTTTTAAGGCATGACAGGTTCGGTTCTTTTTATATAAAAGAGAAAAAAAAGGAAAAAGAAAAAAAATCCTTATTATCGACCTTTATTGTTGACAAGGGAAATTTATTCCGGAAAGCTTTCATTTGCTAACCAAGGTAGATAGTCTTAAACACTATCATAATGTCAGAAATCAATTCCTCCCAAAGTATTGACCAAACGGAGGAATCGATGGTGCACCAAGGACGAGGTGACCTTCAAAGCATGCAACCTTCCTATCGTCTAAATGGGAAAAACTATCTAAAGTGGTCTCAATTTGTGAGGACCTACTTAAAGGGGAAAGGGAAAGTACATCACCTCCTTGGAGGAGGACCAAAAGAATGAGATCCTAAATTTTGGGTATGGGATGAAGCAGACTCCATGATTATGTCATGGTTGTGGAATTCCATGAATCCAGAAATTAGTGATACATTTATGTTCCTTTCGATCGCAAAGGACATATGGGATGCTACCAAACAGACCTTTTCCAAAGCTCGAGATGCGGCTCAAATCTTTGAAATTAAAGTCAAAGTTGGAAGCACAAAGCAAGGGAGTAAGACTGTGACGGAGTATGCCACCATTCTACAAAATCTGTGGCAAGAACTTGATCACTATAGATGCATAGAAACCAGATGTTTGGAAGATGCTGTGATCCTAAAGAACTTTATTGAAAAAGATAAAATTTATGATTTTCTTGCAGGACTAAATGCAGAATTTGACCAAGTTAGGATTCAAATTCTGGGCAAGGAGGAGACGTCATCACTCAATGAAACAATTTCCCTCATCCGTGCAGAAGAAAGCCGACGAGGAGTGATGTTAGAATCAAAGGGAGTTGAAGGCTCAGCAATGGTAATGAACAAAGAATCGTCATGGAAGAAGAAGGGTAAAGATTCTTCAATGTTCAAAGACAATGACTCACTTTGGTGCAGCTATTGTAAAAAGTCAAGACACAGAAAGAAAACGTGCTAGAAAATACATGGAAAACCCCCCAGCAAGGAGTGGAATCAAAAGGGCAAAACAAGGAGCACATTACATGCCAATAACACTACAAGTAAACCAAAAGCACAGTCCAGCCTTGGAGAATTCAATAAAGAAGATATTGATAAATTAAAACGACTCCTGATATCTCTTGAAAAACCAAATGCTTCTTCTTCACTTGCACTCTCAGGTAAGACTCCAGTTTCTTTTAGTTTAAGTGCTTGCATAAATCATCTAAAGGAATTATGTATAATTGATTCAGGAGCCACAGATCACATGACCAACTCACCTACCCACCTCATAAACTATACTCCTTACCCAAACAACAAAAAAATCATTACTGCTGATGGTTCTCTTACCACGGTAGCTGGCCAAGGAGACATCATATTATCCCCCTCACTCACCCTGAAAAATGTCCTTCACGTACCACAATTATCCACAAATCTAATATCAATCCAAAAACTTACCAATGATCATAGTTGTCAAGCCTTATTTAACCCTACGTATTGCTTATTTCAGGATCAGAGATTGGGGAAGAAGATTGGACTTGCTAAGGAGAAAACAAGATTGTACTACCTAGAAGAACCAAACCAATCTAAAAATAGTTACTCCATGTTATCCCTAGTTGATAGGAAATCCACTATTTGGCTTCATCATTATAGACTAGGCCATCCATCCTTTGATGTTCCAAGACATGTATCCACAACTTTTCCAGAAAATAGAAAATAAAAATTTACATTATGAAAGAGTTGGCTAAACATAAAAGAACCTCATTCCCAAACAAAGTGAGAGATGTGACACCCCCTTCTACCTTATTCATAGTGATATATGGGGACCCTAAAAAATCCCCAATATCTCTGGAGCATGTTGGTTTGTATCTTTCATTGATGATTACACTAGAGTCTCTTGGATATATCTCCTTAAAAATAAATTCTGATGTTAGCATCATTCTTCTCATCTTTCATTCCATGATCCAAAATCAATTCGGAGTAAAAATACGGAGATTCTGCTCCGATAATGCCAAAAATTATTTCAACCAAACCCTTTCCTCGTACTTCCAGAGTGAAGGAATCATCCATGAGTCCTCTTGTGTTCATACCCCACAACAAAATAAGGTTGCAGAGAGAAAAAATGGTCACCTTCTAGCCACCATGCGAGCTTTCCTATTTCACTACAATACACCTAAATCCTATTGGGGGAAGCTCTTTTAACTGCAGCTTATCTCATAAACAGATTACCTTCAACAGACTTAGGCCTCAAAACTCCAATGGAGACCCTGTCCTCTTTTTACCCAGAGTTTCGAACCCATCATAATCTTACACCCAAAATTTTTGGATGCACTGCTTATGTTCATATTCACAATCAGGAGTGAGAAAAATTAGATCCAAGAGCACTCAAATGTATCTTTGTTGGCTATTCTGCTACCCAAAAAGATTATAAGTGTTATCATCCACCCACAAGAAAAACCTTTCGAACCCATCATAATCTTACACCCAAAATTTTTGGATGCACTGCTTATGTTCATATTCACAATCAGGAGTGAGAAAAATTAGATCCAAGAGCACTCAAATGTATCTTTGTTGGCTATTCTGCTACCCAAAAAGATTATAAGTGTTATCATCCACCCACAAGAAAAACCTTTGTCTCTATTGATGTTACCTTTGATGAGCAAAATTCTTATTTTTCAAAAACTCATCTTCAGGGGGAGACTGAACTTGAGGAAGATGAGGAAAATGAACTAGCACCTCTTGACATT